TTTTAACCTTCCAGTGCTAAGTGCCAGTCCTGAGAGCAATTTTCAATTTTCAGTCACCTTCATTTAAGTCTGCAACATTGCTCCTCCATCTCTCTCTCTCTCTCTCTCTCTCTCTCTCTCTCTCTCTCTCTCTCTCTCTCTCTCTCTCTCTTTCAACACAGAGTGTTTATTTTTCTTCCTTTTATTTCAGTCATTAAATGCTGTGCACTGACACAGATTTGCAGACAGATTTGCAGTTTTTATGATTAAAGTTCAATCAAATTTATATTAAAGATAAAGAAAACCAAACTAATAACCACAGGGACAGCAACCAGCGTTTGAATTGATAATGAATGTATTAAAGTGATGGATAGCTACTGTCTTTTGGGATCAGCCATCAACAGTAAAGGATCCAGCAGTCAAGCAATATGCTGCAAACTAAATTTAGAAGAATAGCAATGGAAGCCTTGGAAAAAGATATTCAGATGCTCAACTGTGTCTACATCCCAAAATGTCAGAATTATGCAGGCAATAATGTTCCCCATTATACTTTAGAGAGCCACTCTGCAAGTGAGATGGTGGCCTCTAAATTTGACATATAAATAAATCTAAATACTTTATGGAAGCAACAGTTTAATTTTAAAGAGGCAGGACAGAAAAATGTTGATACTTTTGAAATGTTATGTTAGAGAAGATTCCAAAGAATACTATGGGCAGCCCCCCCCCCCAAAATCAAATAAATGGATCATCTATCCAGAGTTCTCACTTGAGGCACCAATGGCCAGGCTCAAATTTTCAAACACATTATGAACAGACGTAGTTCTCTGGAGAAGTGTATAATGCTGGAAAAGGTAGAAGGAAAGAGAAGAGAAGAACAAGCTATAGCAACATGGATGGACTAGGGGATAGTGACAAAGGGTGCACTATTGGCAGACCTGAAGGACCAAGTTAGAGCAAATCTTCCCAGTTCTATCTATGTGGTTGCTAAGAGTCAACATGAACTTAATGGCACATCATCAATCAAATCAAATAATTATCAATTAATCATTAATTCTGTAAGTACCATAGACTATACCTCTAATGCCTGCCCTAGCTAAATACACACACACACACACACACACACACACACACACACACACACACACAAATCAGAACAAGATTATCTTGGTCAGGAAATTCTGTTTTTATACTCCATTACCATGATGACCTTTGGGCTATTGCAAAACTAGTAGCTCTCCTGTTTTCCTGCCCAATCAACAAGTACTTTCAAGGGCAGGAAATCAGGAGTCCAGGCAGTTCAAATGACAATATAGGTGTATTGAATGCTAAAGTTCTGTACAAGAATCTGAACTATTAAGGGTCAAAGCGAGTTGGCACTAGATAAGAGTTGATGGAATTCAATGTGAGCTGGATTTAGTTCTCAGGCTTAGCCTGGTCACGTCCTACAGTGCTCTTATCCCCACTTCCCACAACCACTTCCAAATCAAGCCAACCAGGGCCATCATAAATGGTATTTTGCCAAGGCCCCTCAATTCTGTAACCAGGCATAATAGTAAATATCTATTAAAAATAGAAAGATTAAAACATATCAGGGGCGCAACTCAATAAGAACTGACTAATTATTACGGCTCCTTGAGGCTGAACAATAAATGAATACATCATATAGTTCATTTTGTAATGCTGAATTAATGTTAGCAAGACAAAGAATAACTTCAAAGAGACCATGAATCAATTGATTATTTTTGTCAGCACACTACTTCACTCTTAGTGTAACTGCTTACTGCTTTATATAAAGATAAATGCTTCCTTCCTTTTTCGCAATAAATGTAACACATTTGTCTTGTTGAAGTCAGCATTGCCTAACATCCAAATTTGTTTTCCAATTAAAATCACCAGAGCAAAAGTGAGACAATAGAAGAATGTGCTTTTTTGTCTGTTTTATAGCTATGATTATGTGGTACAAAGAATCATTTTCAGGAACATATAGGCATACACACACATAAAGAAATGCATACATTTCTGCAGAAGATTCTCATAATCCCATCTATGATTTCATAAAATGTGTATTCTCCATTTTAGGTTCCTGGCATTCAGCCAGTCTGTTAGGTAAGTTGGATGCTTTTGTCATATCTTTTATATATGAATCAAAGTAGATATAAAAGAAAATTCATGTTACTCCAACTTGATTGAACATGAAACACAAAATAAAATTCTTTCAATGAACAGAAAAGCAATACAATAAAATATATAAAATAAAGTAAAAGAGCTCAACATTTAGAAATATAAATGAACGTAAATATCTTCAGGTCAAATGGGCCCCTTTGTTTACTTTGTGAAAAAAAACCTGATGACACATTATTCAAGATTTTCAGAGATTAAAAGTTAATGCATAGGTCAATATGAGTGTTGATGGATTTTGAGAAAAGAACTCAATCACTATTGTTGGTAATTATCTTATGACCAGGAAGCAATAGATCTAACTACAGGTAGCCCTCATCTTACAACCACAGTTGGGACCAGAATTTCCAAGCAGGTTGATAACTGAGATATGCTCAGTTTTACTACCTTTCTTCCCATGGTTGTTATGCCAATCACTACAGCTTTGAAAGAGGTGAGCTTTGCCAATTCCATCAGTTTTTCCCTCCATTCTTCCATTGTGGAAATTAATATGACTTTCCATTTTTGCACATAAAGGATTCTCAGTGCAGTCAATGTATTTAATAAACTTCCAAATTTTCTTTAAGTTCTTTATCCAGTAGCCCTAAAAGGAAAACTTCTGCTTTTAATTTTATATTTGTTTTTTAAAATAAAATCTTGTGAATTAAGACAAAAACATGGCCCCAATTTTTCTTTGTTTTATCACAAGTCCATCAAACAGTGGCGTGGTGGCCTAGTGGTGAAGATGCTTATCTCCCACCCAGAAGATTGAGAGTTCAATCCTAGGTAGTGAGAGATGTTTCTCTCCTAGGGTACAAAGAAAAAATACCTGCTGAGAACTCTTTGTAGGTGTCAGGAAGGGTATCCAACCAGTAAATTCTCAGTTCCATTCAGCCCTCCTAATTCTACCCCAAATTAAAGAATTACAGGGTCATAAAAGGGGATTTATTTATCACAGGTCCACCAAAGATGCTAAAAATAAATGTAATTCTTTACAATTACATTTCCAACATACATTTGAAACGCCTTTATACATATCGACAGTATCTTGGGCATTAAGTACCAATGATACATCACATGTCTGCTTCTAATTGGACTAGAAGTACCCATATGGATTGCAGTTGAAGCTACTATGCCTTTCATTCTTTTCTCTTTATATGTCTTCCCCTTCCCCTCTCCTCTCCATCCATAAAACTCCAAATATTACCCATAAAGTACTCATAAAAGGGTATAGAGAATTTCCTGCTGTTGTCTATCTACATTTCCACATTAAACAGCTCACTATTGAGAGCCATTGAGAGCCAATTTCCCATTGAGTCTATAAGTGGTGGACTGTTCCATTGGATAAAGACCATTATTATTTACTTCCACCAATATTCATAGACATAGAGGGCAAGGATAGATCAAATGATGTCTTTGCACATTGCACAAAGCATAGCGTTTATCATTTACATTTAGCACAGCCCTGCAACTGTGACACATCACAGGTAAGCAAATGGCATCTTCACTATGGGTAAGGGTACGTATAGAGGAGAGAGAATGAGACGGGAATTCAGAATGAATTCCATGATAGTTCTGCATATCAATCAATCAGAATAGAGTTGGAAGGGACCTTGGAGGTCTTCTAATCCAATTCCTTTGCTCAAGCAGGAGATCCTATACCATTTCAGACAAGTGACTGTCCAGTGTCTTCTTAAAAACCTCCAGTGATGAAGCACCTATAACTTCTGAAGGCAAAAGCTGTTCCACTGGTTAATTGTCCTCACTGTTAGGAAGTTTCTGCTTAATTCTAGGTTGCTTCTCTCCTTGATTAGTGTCCATCCATTGTTTCTTGTCTTGTCTGCTTGTGCTTTGAAAAATAAGTTGACCCCCTCCTCTTTGTGGCAACCTCTCAAATACTGGAATACTGCTATCATGTTGCCCCTAGTCCTTCTTTTCTCTAGACTAGCTATACCCTCCTGCAAAAGAAATCCAAATCAAACATAAATTCAGAGAAGGTGGTGAAAGGCACATTCATTTTGGAAATCAAAAGTTATCCCTGAGGTGAAGAATAAATTTCTAGGCATATTATGAAATTATGATGTATATTTTTCTTCTGAAGATCTAAGTTCATTAAGATCTAAGTTCACAAGGATATGGATCCCTATCTTCCATTAAAACAATTTTCCTGTTTCTCAGTTGAAAGCAACCAGCCTCTTCAGTCAATCCCATCCAAACTCAAATACGGAATCATACCCTTAACTTTTTGCCTGAGATTTTCAGTTATCACCAGACTGTCCTTCCTTGTATATGAAGTTGCTTTATACGAAATCAGTTCATTGCCCCATCTAGCTTTAAATAGCTGTATTCATCTTAGTTTTCAGGAGAAAGACTTTCATGTTCCCAGCTATATTATGAAACCTTTTATATAGGAAGCATTATCTAAAAACCTACTGGGAATAGTTGCATTAGGGCAGCTTTGGATTTGATTGACAACATGCAGGTTTTGAACTCCTCAAAGCAGCCACTCTTTTTTTTTTAACCTAGAATCAATATGACAGCTGTAGCAGACAGCCACACATCCCAGGAAATGACACAGCTGCTTTAAAGAGCAGTTGCTATCCTCTTGTTCTAGTGCTCTTCAAAGCACTTATTTCTGTTCAGCTCTGAAGTATATCCCAACCCCAACTGCATTTACAAGAAGCTTCAGAAACTATTTCCTATCAAATTTAAAAAATTACTTTTCTTGAGAAAATCAACAGGGTGCACATGTTTTTCATTTTTCATTTTAATTTCTCACATATTTAGAATAGAAAGCATAAGGGATAACCATTCAGAAGAAATAAAATGTTCAAATAATTAAATATGAAGAATATATTACCCACCTGAATATTACATCCCTTTTGTTGCTTTTTTAACCTTATGGTTCATTTTTTCACATTCTGTTGATACGTTTGATCTGCATATAAATTGTCTTTTAGTTCCTTTGTCTTTGAATATTAATATCATCGCTCATGATGACCAAGGTCTTCAGAAATATTCCTGAAAGCTATTTTAAAAAGAAAATGATACAAATTCTCTCTGGAAGTTGGATCCTCATTAATTTCTCACTGAAATAAATCTTAGGCATAAAATGAGTTCATGCAACAGGAAACGCGATCCATTTTTCCTCTAATAATTAAAATGCTGTTCTGCTGGCATGACACACTCAATTATTTTTCAGTGGGTATAAATACTCATTTTGCAATGCTATTTGTTTTAAAGTTTCCTCAGGTGCTATCATGGCTCAAAATGCTATCCAGTTTCATCACCACTAATAAATTTTAACCTAGTGCTCTCAGGCTGAAAGGAATGTATTGCATTATACTGGTTAAGACAGGATATTCCTAGTAATGTCAGGCCCAAGGAACCAAGAATGGCATGAGGGCTTACTGCTGAATAGTTTTTTTTTACTATTATTGTTCACCTATACACAAAATCTTTCCAGATTAAAATAATCTGCCTAAGTATATTAGATATACTCTGTGAATTTCACCCTCTTCCTGCTCATCAAACATTCCAATCTCCACTGTCTCTTTGCTCTCTGGGAAACAATCCCTTCCTCCTGTGACTCCAGACTACGTTCCACCACAAGAAATAGTCACAAGGAGACCATGACATAAGCAGCAGAAGAATGTAGCATAAGATTCAACATTGGTGAAAGCTCATCTGCAGTCTTGAAGGCACAATTGTCCAGCCACTTCATTTGAAATGGTGTCATATCTGCTATAAAGTAGAGTGCATGTCTCTCTTGTGCAGGCATGCCTGTCCTTATATATAGTCCCTGTATTTACAATTTATCACTTGTTGCAACAGGATACGGAACTGCTAATTTACATGCAGATACGCTGGAACTTTGGCCTAATTAAGCCAGTTAATGTAATATATCCTTAATCTGAAGGAGGTTTATAGCCCATTTCTACGAGAGATGCCAAAGAATCCCAGTGTGATTTCAGGGTTTCACTACATACTACAACAGAATTCACACTTTTGCCAAAAAGGACTCAAAGGCAAAATGGACAGTCAGGAAGGGATGCAGTACATATAATTGAGAAAATGCATTCCCAAGAGACATATATTGGGAAAACTGCATGCAAATATTAAATATATAACTCTCTCTCTCTCTCTCTCTCTCTCTCTCTCTCTCTGTGTGTGTGTGTGTGTGTGTGTGTGTGTGTTACAGCATCATAGAACTGGAATTTGAGATCTAGCCAAATTTAAACAAGAATAGCTCCCCTATATACTGCACCTTACCCATAAGCACAAACATAGACATTTGAAACATGACTTCTAAAAAATATTATGAGAGCAATCATCAATAATAGGTTAATGAACTTAGATAGATACCAGCAATAATCTTCAATGTACAATGTAAAGTATAATAACCTAGGTTGTGGTCAGTGTTGCGTCCTTGGCGGGAAAGCAGACACGAGAAGCAGCTGGAGTTCTCAGTTTCTTTTATTCAGCGTTCAGCTTACAGGAAGATGGCTTCAGCCTCGCCCAAACGCCTCGCAGCCTCTTATATAGGCAACTCCCGGGTAAATGGGTTACTTTTCCCGCGCCAGCACCCGCGCATGCGCACGGCGCTGGCGACAGCCTGTCTGGTCCCGGGCAGCTTTGCACCTGCCCGGGACTGCCTGCAAACGCCCGAGCCGTTTGCAAAGGCTCGGGACATAACACCCCTTTCCCCCGGGCTAAAACTACTACCAACATACAACATTTATTTTATATACATTTTGCTCCCCAGTGTTCCCACTGTTTACTGGCTTTTGCCTTGCCAGCAATGTTATGTAGTCTTCTAGGTACTTGGGAGATTTCTTTGCTCTCTGTGACCTTCTTAGCTCTGGATTACTGGCATAAGTCCCCTGACTGGAGGGAGGCGTGAGCCTTTTCTCTCTATTGTGCCCTGGTGTCTTCCAAGGACTGTGCCCCAATGCCTGGCCTGCTCGCTTGCCCACCGGGCTCGTCAGGCCAGGGCTTCTGTTGCTTTGTGACCTGGTTGACCTGCCTAGCTGTAGACCCTCGGGCCCCTTGAAGTGATAGCCGCTGCTGGGCGTCTCTGTAGGACCTCCTAGGTCAGTCCAAGACCTGTCAGGAGGCTGTCCATTCCCTGAACCCCATTCTGTGTTCGGGCTCGTGTGGGTTTCTGTACTTTCCCAAAACTCAGGTGTTCCCTGATTTGTGCTAGGGTTGTTGTAGTCGGGACTTGGTTCCTCGACTAGCTCTGTGTATCTTTGACCCCCTGTAGGATTTGGGGTAAGGTCAGGCCAACCTTGGGGATTGTGTGCCAGCTCTCTTGCGGGGAATGATTTGTTGGGATGCCCCCGGGTATCCTCCGTGACTGGAGTGCTGTGTGACGTGTGTGGAAAGTGAGTATGCCCCCGGGGTGACTCCCTGGCTGGAGTAGGCGTGGATGCCTGGTAGTTAGGTAAGCTCATGGAATTATTGTTCGGAGCTCTCGCGGAACCCTGGGATGGGCCGTTTGTGGCTCCCTCAGTGGAGATGGGCAGCAGCTCGTGCCCTTCCCTTTGCTCCAAAGGGTCCCCCTCCCCCCCTGGAAAAGACCCAGGAGTCTCAGCAGAAAAGTCTCGCCTAGAGCGAAGTTGGTCGATGTGCCGACGCAGGACACGACCGTTGTCCAGGGCAACCTCGTAGGAGAGAGGACCTGTGATCCTGGACACAGAAGCGGGGACCCATGTATGACCAGGCCCGTAATTGCGAGCCCAAACCGGGGCACCCACAAGTAGTTGTCTAGGTGCCCTAGGATGTGAGGTAGATGAAGGCAGTCTGTCCGGATGCAACCGGTCAAGTCTAGTAGTAAGTTGGCGCCCCCAACGAAGTTCAGCTGGACTTCTCCCTGTAGAAGTGGACGGTGTGGTGCGATAAGAAAGGAGAAAGTCAGCCAACCTGTGATGCCAGTCCCCGTAGGTGAGTCTCTTCAAGGCGTCCTTTGCGATGCGCACCATGCGTTCAGCCATACCGTTGGTGGACGGGTGAAAAGGCGCAGACGTGGCATGACGAATCAGGTTTGCCTGTAAGAAAGCTTGGAATTCGGAGGAGGTGAATTGAGGGCCGTTGTCAGACACAATGACATCTGGCAGCCCGTGTGCAGCAAAAATCCCCCTCAGTACCTGAATAGTCTTTGCAGTGGTGGTGGATGAGACAGGCACAACCTCAAGCCATTTTGAATGGCTGTCAACAAGGACCAAGAAGAACTGGCCCTGAAAGGGCCCAGCGTAGTCAATGTGCACCCTAGACCATGGGGACTGTGTTTCCTCCCATCTATGCACAGGAGCTTGGGGCATCTCTGGGCGAGATCGTTGGCACAGGTGGCATGCGTGCACCTTAGCCTCAATATCTTTATCTAAACCAGGCCACCACAAGTGGCTTCGTGCAAGAGCCTTCATACGGACAATGCCAGGATGACCCTCGTGGAGGGATTCTAAGACCCTAGTCCTCATTGAGGTGGGAATGACAACTCTGTTTCCCCAAAGCAGACAACCCTGAGAAAGGGACAGTTCGTTTCTTTTGGACCAGAAACTCTGAAACTCAGGACTAGGGCAGTGCTCAGGCCACCCGGACAGGACCCAGGAGCGGACACGTGAAAGTGTGTGATCTGTACCTGTTTCAGCGGTAACATCCCTGGCACTAAGAGGGAGCTCGGGCAAGGCTTGGATTGATAGAATGTTGACAGCTGGCGCGGGGTCAGCTTCTACTACTGGCAGAGGCAACCTACTGAGGCCATCAGCATGGCCCATTTCTTTCCCAGGCTTGTGGAGTAATGAAAAATCATATGCAGACAAGAAAATAGACCACCTAAGCATTCTAGGGGAAATGATGTGGGGAGTCTGCTTACGTGTGGTAAACAGTCCCAGCAGAGGCTTATGGTCAGTGAAGACCGTGAAATGCCTGCCATATAGAAAATCGTGGAATTTTTTAATTCCAGCAACAACAGCCAGAGCCTCCCTGTCTATCTGAGCGTAGTTGCGCTCGGCAGAAGACAGTGTTCTGGAGTAGTATGCAATAGGAACCTGAGTTCCATCAGACCTGAGATGACTCAGGACAGCTCCAACCCCGTAGGGGGACGCATCACAAGCGATGCACACAGGAAGAGACTCGTTGAAATGTGCAAGAACACTGTTAGAAGTGAGCAAGGCCTTGACTTCTTTAAAGCAAGCCTCATGTGCTTGTGACCACAGCCACACAGCTTGTTTGTCTAGTAGCCTGTGAAGAGGCTCAGCTACACTAGCTTTATGTGGAAGAAAAGAATTGTAGAAATTCAGGAGGCCTAGGAAGGCCTGAAGTTCGGCCTTAGACTTTGGCCTGGGTGCTTCTAAAATAGCAGTTAGTTTGGATTCAGCAGGATGAATCCCAGCAGCATCAATTTTGAATCCCAGAAATTCAGTCGAAGGCACCCCGATCTTGCATTTGTCTTTTCTGAGCTTGAGGCCTGATTCCCTGAATCTTAACAGGACAGCCCTAAGTCTTTCAGCTAGAATGTGTGTGGAGTCTCCTGCAATCAAGACATCGTCAAAGTAGGGGCAGACCCCTGGTATACCTCGTAGTGTGTTTTCCATTACGCTTTGGAAAATCCCAGGAGCGACATTTACTCCAAACTGTAGCCTTTTTACTTTAAAGGCTCCCCTGTGGGTCACAATGGTCTGAGCTATGGCAGCATCATCATCAACAGGCAGCTGTTGATATGCTTGAGCTAGGTCAAGCTTTGCAAAAACACGCCCCCCCTTGAGAGAGGCCAGGATGTGACTGACCACAGGAACAGGATAGGCATGTTGCTGCAATGCCTTATTGAGTGTGCATTTGTAATCAGCACAAATGCGAATGTCCCCATTTGCCTTTAGAGGCGTGACAATGGGGGTCTCCCACGGGCTGGAATCAACAGGTTCTAGGATTCCCTGTTGGATTAGTTTGTCTAGTTCAGTGTCAATCTTACTTTTTAAAGCAAAAGGGACCCTTCTTGCTTTAATCCTAATGGGAGTGACAGTGGGGTC